ATAAGGCAAGACTGTGGTAAAAGCAAAGGAAAGGATCAAAAGAATACAAAAACCTGACTCTGACAGGATGACGTGGCATGGACTAGCGCAGGTTCTCTGACTTCAAAAGACAAGACGAACTGGCACAGGACAAAGGGAGACGCAGGCTATATATACATACCCACACACGGTAATGGGGAACAGGTGGAAACAATCAGACCAGTGGGAAACACACACAAGGGGAAGGAGCAAGTTACCTGAAACGAGAGGGAAGTTAAAAGTCAAAATAAAACAGGAAGCACATTAACACAAGACAAAAACTAAACTGAACACAACTTCTTGGACATGACATAATGCTCATAAAGAGGCCTGCAAACTTTTATCTTTAGTCCTTTGATGCTCAGGTGATTCAAGTTGTGCATGTTAGCTTTGCCCAGCTGATATGACTGAACAAGATCAGGATACTTCTTTCTCTCTTTTTGGTACCAGCAAGTTAAACATCCACTGCAGCTGATACCAAATGCTGCTGCCAAGCTTTTAACAGCCACTAAGTGCAACGACCACATTAAACTAATCCCTCCAGTTTGAGAATTGATTTAGAAGTTTTATTGCTTGTTTTTGAAGCCTTTAATGATCCGACTCCTGCAGATATAAAAGGTGAAGGACTTTGCTCTACATAACAATGGTTGGAGGATAATGTGTATCCTACACCGAAAGCATGTAAAGAGAATATGCCCAAGCAGAAATGATTTAGAAAGCGAATGTGAGCACAGTGAGACTTTGAATACTTTCTTACATGAATGTGAGGAGATAGAAAGAGAGAGGAATTTTTTTGGGGTCATATATCAATTGTGCATTTTATAATTAAGCTGATTCTCTTTGGTTAACAAGGGTTGTTTAGACGATGTGTTTTATGTGGTAGTGCATCATACAGGATAAACCAGGCCCAATCTCAGCCTCTCAGTGACTTCTGGTTTATTCCTCAGGTTATACAGTCTGCTAGTCTTCTCTTCTTTCTGCATTGTGTATTAGATGCTCACTACACTGCAGATCAGTTGATTTGGACACCCTCTAGTTTTCTGTATCGTACTCTTTTAGAGTCTTCTAATCATGATCATTATCAAATATGTTTTACATATTATGTTTTTACATGTTCGTTACTTGACTCCTGGAATGTGGTCACTGGGCTTCAAGATGCAAATCAAGTCTCACATCCTGAAGAAAACGAGCATTTGTTTGTGACATTTTTGTGTACAGATAAAAAAAAAAAANGTGAGTGTGCTTGGTTGTCTGTCTCTACGTGTAGCCCTGTGATAGACTGGTGACCTGTCCAGGGTGTCCCCTGCCTTCACCCTAAGTCAGCTGGGATAGGCTCCAGCCCCCCACGACCCTAGTGAGGATTAAGCGGTGTATAGATAATGGATGGATGGATTTTCTATCAGTTATTTAAGAAAGAGAAAATTCAATATTTCCTAGAGTCATTACATGTACAGTGGTCCTCAAATTTATTCATACTCGTCCATTAAAGAAAAGGCAAAATACCCAATAGTCACTCAAATAACTAGAAACTGAAAAAAGTAATAATAAATAAAATTTGCTAAATTATAATTTAGTGGAATAAGACATTGCTTTTGAATTGTGGCTGAAAAGAATAATTAAAAAAAAAAACTGTCCTGGACAAATTAGAGCACTTTGCTGATGAGCAGTGGGTCAAAATCAAAATATGTGTCAACAGGTGCAGACGTCTGATTGAGAGTTACAGAAAACACTTGATTGCAGTGATTGGCTCAAAGGGTTGTTCAACAACATAGTAGTTTACGGGTCCTATCATGCTTGTTTGCTTGTGTTTTTTGGTTTGTTTTTTTTAAAAAAAAGGTGATGTTGAGAATCACAAACTGTCATGTCAACAGTAAAAGATCTCTAAAGGACAGCTCAATGATTCCTTAAAATAAAAGGAAACCAAAGTGAAACTGAACCCCAAATATCTCCCCATGTATGTGTATGTAATGAAAAATGTGATTACTAGCTCAGACTTAGTCAAAAGACAAAACATTTCAAATGAATGCTTCTGTTCTTTGAAACAGTCCTGATAGTAAGATAATTGAAACCATCTGCAAAAACATGACAGAGGAGACAGACGAGTCGAGAAAACAGTGATGAATCTTGCCAAACTGTGGCCATATATGTTCAAATCAAACCCTGGTGTCGTATATAGTTGTGACTAGATAATCCCACCCTTAACATTCAGAAAACCTTGCTACCGACAGGTGTTTGGGAAAAACAAACAGAACCCATGAAAAATAGCCTTAACATACCGACAGCCTTGGATTCTGACACCAACATGACATTTATGTCACCAATAAGGATAACGGTGTATTATCTGACTGAACAATCCGACAGATTGGCTACGTTCAGGCTGCAGGACTTAATGTTCAATTCAGATTTTTTTGTGAAGTTCGTTCACATTTCCAATTAAATGCGACTTGTATGTGATCTGCTGAGTGAACTTCATACGACCCAAAAGTGTCCACATGTGCAGAAGAGGACACGACGACGTGCTCAGTGTTTATGGAAGTAAACACGGATGGTGGCGGCGGCAATGGTGGAAACAGAACTGTGACCGCTATCCTAAACTAGCATCAGCAGCCAAGTACTGCCTGTGCGTTCCGGCCACTTCCACCCCCGACCGCGCCGAATATTTGGATGTTCATCATTAGTTGGGCCTNTGTGACATTTTTGTGTACAGATAAAAAAAAAAAAGATAGTGCTCTTGTGCAATATGTTTCATCACATTAGCTGCAGTTACTACATTAACAAACACACAGCGGTGCACAGCAGCAACATGTCTTAATGTAGCTCAACTCAACTCCACTCCACTCCACTCCACTCCACTCCACTCCACTTCACTTCACTTCACTTCACTTCACTTCACTTCACTTCACTTCACTTCACTTCACTTCACTTCCCTTCACTTCACTTCTCTTTATTGTCCCCTGAGGGAAATGTGCTCTGCAGGCAAGCAAGAAGCACAAAAACATAGAAAACACAATCTCAATCAATCACATCCGGACACCACACTGAAATGGACAGCACACAACAAATGCAAAACAACTGTCATCCTCCAAAATTTGAGCTCAGTACAGCAATGCCTTGTATTATGAAGGAGTTTTTCATCCTGTTGGATCGATCCTTAGGCAGTCTAAATCTCCTGCCAGAGGGTAGGCGCTCAAACTCAGCATGGAGGGGATGATCGTGACATTGAATGATATCCTGAGCCTTAGAGCAGGGGTCTCGAACTCCTGCAATCCTGCAAGTTTTAGATGTTTCCTTCTTCCAACACACCTGATTCACATGATCAGGATCGTTATCAGGTTTCTGCAGAGCTTCATGATGAGCTGATCATTTGAATCAGGTGTGTTGGAAGAAGGAAACATCTAAAACTTGCAGGATTGCGGCCCTCGAGGACTGGAGTTCGAGACCCCTGCCTTAGAGTGTACCCTCCTGCAAAAGATTGTAGGCAGATCAGGTAGTAAAACACCAATGATTTTACTGGCAACTTTAACAGCATGTAGCCCGCTCAGCACGTTTAGGACGTGTTTCCAATATGTATTCCGCCACTGCATCCTTTTGACCAAAACATTTTTCATTTTAATTGTAAAATTTCTGTATTTCATTCCTCTTCAGGAGTTGTATGAACTATGTCAAGTTTTTTTTTTATTTTCTTCTTTTACAATGTTATAAATGCTGTAAAGCACTTTGTGTTGCTCTAGTGTATGAAAAGTGCTCTACAAATAAAGTTTGATTTGATTTGATTTAACAGACAAGTTGAATCTTCAGGGTTTTATCTAATTGTTTAAAGAAAAGAAACAAGGTAATATGATGGATCGGTGCTTTGCATCATCACCTCTTGCAGGTTTTCCTTCCTGCACTTGCCTACTTTGCTTAATCTCGCATTGTGTGCAAATAGTTCCTCTGTTTGTTTCCCTTTCTTGTAAACCCCCTGACAGAGTGCCCTCTACTACTTCCCCATTTCTAAAGTAATTGAGCTACATCATGGTGATGCAAATGCTGAAGCACAGCTGGTTTGATCCAAGCAGAGAAGTGGACGTCTCTGAGTTAGATTAGGTAAAATCAGAAAACAGCATGTCTGAGGATATCTACGCCAAGCCGGACCTCAGCAAGAAAGTTAGATTTCAGACGGAGAATGGAAACGCAGATAAGGCTGATGTGGTGATTTATGACAACTATGTGGCAGAAGAAAGTACAACGGCAAAATCAGAGGAAAACACTACAGAGGATCCACAACAAGGTAACTGTCTTTCTGTCCAGGTCTGTCCCGACTCATATGTTCAACATACGGTTATGAACAAAAGCTTACATACACACATCTCCAACATGGCAGTCCTGAGGTTCCAATGGATCCTACAACTCTTAACTTTCTATAACGGAATCATCTTTGTAACGAAAAAACAATCAAGCATTTTGTTTGCTTTCATCAATTAATTGTAAGTCTTCTGGCAAAATGACAAAACCTGCTGGGTCAAAAACATACTTACAGCAAAGCTTTTGGTTGCCACTCACAATCATTACTGTAGGCACATTTTTTTACCCAGCAGATTTTGCCAAATATCCACAAGTGTATGTAAACTTTCGCTCACAACTGTACTTCATACTAAGCGCAGCAGTGTGGCTGGTATTGTTTTCACCTTGTGCGTCTGGGAACGAGGTTTTGAGTAGCTTGGCAGATGTTTATAGGTTTGTCGGAAGAATTTATCGATGCAGTTGCAACCGTGCAACAAGCCGAAGCAAAACTTTACAGATCAGTTGTTGGAAGCAAAACAAAGGCGGAGTTGCAAGTCAGGCGTGGTTCCGCCTGTTGGTACAGGATGGAACATGTGATCCCACAGCAAAGGGTCTCCAGTTTGGTGATATATGCTGTTTGTTTGTTTACATCCCAAACTGTGAAAAATGCATGTTTTTGTCCAGTTACACAAGATGTGTGAAGATGATTTAATTTTACTCTGCTGAGAACTATAATGACAATGACTATGTTTTATTGCTTTATAACACAATTTTACTTAAAATGACTCCTAATGATGAACTTTTAATTTGCAGAACTTTATAACATGACCAATTATTGAATAAAAATCTTCAGTGCATCAACATGAACCATCATCATCGCTGTTCATTTGCGCTTTCAGCCGTTCCAGTCACTGAAAGTTCAGAAAGGAGAACATTTTTTGGAGTTGCTGTAGTGTTTCTGGGGCTGCTGTGTCTTATCCTCCTGACTGCAGTCATCGTCCTGTTGGTCCTATGTAAGAACATGTACTCCAGATTCATTCATTTCAGATGGAATTTGTGGTGCTTTATTCGTAAATATGACAAAATCATTTTTTAAAACTTATTCCACATGTTGGACTCTTGCTGCGACAGTGCTTCAAGATAAAAACAGCTGGAACACGGAGAGAAAGCAACTGATAGATGAAAGACAGGAACTCCTGACAAGTATCGCTGCCATAAAAGTCAGCCTGAGCCATACAATAAGCCAGAGAGAGAAGAAAGAAGAACTACAGCAGCAGATTGGTGAGTAAAAATGTCCATCCATTATCTATACACCGCTTAATCCTCCTCGTTAAGG